CACACACACACACACACACACACACATGCATATGGCTCATGTGTCACTCTTTTGTGTGCAGAACCCTTTGGGTGAGCATGTCAGTGGCAGAACGCAATGCAAAGAGACTCAAGGGAGCGATTCTCTCATTTAACAACAGTGTATTTTTTGCATTTTGGTTTAAATTTGAGCGTAGACTTTTTCCATGAATTCTATTGATGTAACAGATTACATCTTTTGCAACATGTGATGGGAATATTACTCCATTTCTTCCGTTTCCCACTTACATAATTGGTCCACTCTGTTTTGATTAACACCTTGCTCAGCATCCAACACTGTGAAATTGTAAATCGTTTAAAGTCACATAAAGTGTACATAAATACTCATTTGCAGAGCCTGAAGATGTGTGCAGTCTGTGTGCGCCGAATTAAGAAAAGTGTTGCTCGATGATGACGCTTCAGACCTTCGGTGATCTTTTCCCTCCTGCTGGATGGCACAACCTTGAGGATCGGTCCACAGCATCAGGAGCCTGGTACATACATTTGTTATGTCAACAACCACGATGATCGGATATTGTAATATAGTCTGGGCTACCAGACCTGTACGGGCCCGGCCAGTGCAACTAGGACCCTCTTGCCCGGGTCACCCGGGCGAGTAAAAAAAACAGTCAAAACTTCCTGTTTTTCTTCCCCTGATGATGGGGCATTTTTGCACCCTCCGAGAGGGACGCTAATCCGGTCTCATTTTTTTTCTAGGTTCATGTCAGTTTGGAGGAGAGGGGGGAAGGGGGGGTAAGGGCCTTAAAGGGGCTTGAAAGGGCTTGAAAGGCCTTTAAAGGATGTGAGATGATTTCCTTACATTATTTTATTTTTATTTCAAATTCTATAAAGAATTTGGAAGTGACCCTCGGCCGATAGTTGTTTGGTTTGCTATTCTGCACAGCATACTTTTTTTTCATTTTTTTTTTATTTTTTTATTTTTTTTGTGAGATATGGGCCGGGCCCCTGCCTGGCCCAGTTGCCCGGCTGGTCGTCCCGGGAAGGTCTCGTGCCAGCTTTGGGGACCCGGGTGGCATGGCTGGTAGCCCAGAATACAGTGCAGTTCTTTTTTTTTCCTTTTTTTATTCTAAATAATAAAAAGAGAAACGGCCTTGAGATATCATCATTGAACTGTGACCGGCCCCAGGTAATTTAGAATGATTTTATTCTGGTCATTTGGTTGCATCTGCAATGAACCCAGATCGTGAAGACACTTGTCAACAATGCAAGTCCAGACGAATATCAACCTGCTGATGATTATCAATAATCATAATCGTGTCCAGATAGAATGAGATGGGAGAATCATACACAGACGAGAGAGGGAGGAGGGAGATTAGACTTAGACGAAGAATAAAGACAAATGCCCACTTCTGCTCTGGGCCCCCTCCTCGATCACCACCTCAAATAATCAATAGTCTGAACGCACATCTGAAGTTCTATTACAATGTGCCACGTGGCACGTCAATAAGTCCTCATCAGCGCACTGGAGCAATGTCGACCTCAAGATGACCAGGTACGTGTCCACGATTACCCCACAGTCATGATCTCCTCCTGAGTGACGATGAATCAGAACAGCAGTGCCAGTCACGTAGCCCAGCCACGTCAGCATAGTACACGTGGCAGCGGCCACATCGGCAGCGACGCGTGGCAGCTGCCACATCAGCATGCCCTGAAGACAATAGTCAGCCAGCCACCATGCCGAGCCAGCAGCGCGTCGCCGTAGTCACCCAAATGCCAGCGCAAAGCCAGCGTCCAGCCAGTGTCGCAGCATCGAGCCAGCGTTGTCGTCAACACGTGAAGTCAGCATTGACGCAAGACTGAATGAATGTCAAAGTCAGGAAGTCAGCGCTTATGTAGCATTGATGCGGGGTCTGGACCCCGGATGCCGCATCCCTCAGCCATCAAGATCTTAGTGCAAATGACGGCCCAGATTGGCATGAAACCGAATTCCCTCTGGCCTTGATGCTGTCTGGGTACCTGTGCACAACAAGTGAGTGTATCCGACCAAGGGCCTGGGCGCGGTACCTTTGATCTGACAGTTGACTTAGACTTTTGACTTTCCTAGGGCAGTGCGTGGTCACACTGCCTGGTGCAGACCGAGTTTGGCCTGCATCGCCTGCATCGCCTGCATCGTCTGGGCGCCACTTTGAGGGCCCAGACTGCTGCAGAACAACGGTTACTGCAGCATCTCGACTCGAACATGAGTCTGTATTTCACCAGTTCATGGGTGTATGAACTGACTGACCTAGGTCCATTGTGTTTTCAATTTCTTTGTAAATATGGGCCAATTCTACACCAGGGGCCTGGTCCCACCAGCCGCTGTTGAGTTGAGAAAACGGAACGGTGTAACACAGTTTGTTTTCAGCCCTATAAAAAAACAAAACAAATGATAAAAAAAATGAAAACAAACAATTGAAAAATCAAAACAAATGATTGAACAATCAAAACGAATGAAACCTTACATGATGTTTGTCTGTATTTTAGGAAAAAAAGATATTTGTGCAGACTACAGTTGGCAATAACTCCGCTCAAATCATGCAATAATCGTGGGCCATGGGTCGTCATTTCGGTCTAAGGGCCAAAACAGGGGTCAACGGCCACGCCCAAGTCATGAAAATTGCCTAAACGAAGGGCTGCCACCATGGATAACCGAAGCAATGTAGCAAGGTCACAATATGCCCCCCCCCCCCCCAAAAAAAAAAGTCTGGAAAACACGAGGCTGCTATAGTGATTTTGAAATGAAAGAAAAAGGAACAAATCATGGCTACCATCCGGACATCCGGACAGGCGTCCAGACTCCAGACGGTCTGCTGTCCGGTGTCTGGACACCGGACCGTACGAGGGCCGTCCGGAAGGGGCCAAAACCCCGAAATTCAGAAAAAAAAAGGGGGCACCCTAGTCCTGTTCCTTGGGTCCAGGTGCCCCCTGAAAAATGTTTTGATGATTTTTGGGGCCGGTATCGGCCGTACAGGACGTCCGGACCGGCCCCTTTTCTACTTGCATCCTGGGCAGACCGTTGGAGGCAGAGCGCGGTTCCCCAGTGACAAAGGGAAGAAAGGGCAGATTTAGGCACTTGATGTATTTGACTGATTCCACCTGTATCATTATATTATTTAGGATGAACCTACCCGGTATAAAGCTTGTTTGGTCAATGTAGAAAGTTAGAAACATCTTCGGGTAATTTTTGTGATTTTGTTCGCTAGTAGTTTCGCTACAATCTTGTAAGCTATCGATAAGAGTGTGATTGGTCTGTAATTTCTTATGTCTGATAGGTCCCCTTTTTGGATAGTAGTGAGATTATCCCTGTGTTGAGGTAGGCGACTAGCCTTTCTTGTGATCATGTTTTTCTTTATGTAATTACAGTATTCCCTTTCCAGTATTTTCCAGTATTTTCCAGTATTTTCCAATAATTTTTACTCATAATTCATTGGGCAATCCGTCTTGTCTTCGCATTTTGCCTGGTTCTATCAAGTTCATAGCTGCTTTTTTTTTCCTTATGGGAAATCAGTTCATCCAATTTGGCTGCTAGACTCGGTTTTGTCAAGATATTTACAAAGCTTTTCTCTCGCTTGAGAAACTGTACCCATTGTGCGGATTGGGTTTTTTGCTTTGTATAGAATCCCTCAATCCTGTCCTTGTGGAGGGATCGCATAGATGTGAAGTCCTTGCTGCAACTGTGCTGGGGTGGGCTGAATGTCACGACCCGTGATGACCGGTATGGCTTCAGCTTTGAACGTAGGGTCACAGTTGCAGTGGTAAACTCGTCTGGTTTAGACGGCCGAGGTCGCCGGTTCGACTCCGGCTGGCTGCGGAGTTCTATCTATCCTGGCTGCTGTTCCCATTTGGGCAGGGCTGCGGAGTTCTATCTATCCTGGCTGCTGTTCCCAGTTGGGCAGAGAAACTGCAAGAACATTGAATGGCCGCACTGGACAGGAAAGATGTGTGGTATACATACACACATAATTGTGTTGAATTGTCTTCGGGGAAACATGTTACAAGCGAATATTAAATAGCCCAACAACATGCCGAGTTCTTGGCTGATATCCTAAACTTAACCACAGGATCATATCTTTGAGGCAACTGTGATCAGATTCATCACGAGCTCGGTCTAATCATCGAACCGAATTTCAGTGTTTGCTATTAGAGGTGCCGCATTTTCACTGCTGCAGCTTTGAGGTGCTCTCTCTCTCTCTCTCTCTCTCTCTCTCTCTCTCTCTCTCTCTCTCTCTCTCTCTCTCTCTCTCTCTCTCTCTCTCTCTCTCTCNCACACACACACACGCACACACACACACACACACACACACACACACACTCATGTGATGCAAGCGTCAAAGTGTTTTATAATTGCTCGCCTGGCTAGCACTTGCTGTATAATCCACGTAGCCACTGCCATCTCCTGATTATCCCCTGGATGTGCCAAGCCTAGACAAAGACCAGAAGAGAAACAGGTGACAAGGAAAATAGAAAAAAAGGTTCACACATCAATAGTCAAACTCTAAGATGTATCAGGATTCTTTTTTTTTCCTGTTCTTTTTCCTTCTGTTTTAGGGTTTACTAATAAATTACTATAACAGAGCATACATCTTCTTTGCAATTGTGCCGCAGCCGGTGCGGTCATCCTTCAACAGCCATTTCGTTAAAACGGACATTTTATTGTTTTTGAACGAAATTGAAACCTATGTAATGAACCCAGTCTGACAGATACTCAGAAGTCATTAAATACCTGTACAGTCAGTATCTGCAGATAAAATAAATCAAACAGTATCTCATTATCATCAATAGAAGAGAGTGGAGGGGGAAAAGACAAAGGAGAAGATGAAGATTCACACAAAAATCTCTTATGAGCCCTCTCCTTCTCCGGGCTTCCACCCTCTCTACATCAACAATGATAATAAGTATATTCCTGATCACACACGGAACTGCCACGTGGCACTCAATCTCATGAAGACCATGAAGACACTGCAGATTCCAGTATCGACTTCAAACCCAGTTGAGTACCCGTTCTCCTTCAACCACAGATCCCGATCTTCCTCCTTCCTTGCAACCAGTCACCTCATGTAGGCAGTGTGGACAATGCCACGTCAACTATCAAAACAGGTGGCAATCGCCACATCATCAATGTAGACCAAATCAGCATGCCACGTAGACCAGAGGCAGTGCCACATCAGCATACCACGTAGACCAGAGGCAGTGCCACATCAGCATGCCACGTAGACCATAGGCAGTGCCACGTATACCAGAGGCAGCGCCACATCAGCATGCCATGTAGACCACAAGCAGTGCCACATATACCAGAGGCAGCGCCACATCAGCATGGCATGGTGCACTGAAGAAGCAGCAACATGCTCCCTCCACGTCGTGCCGTTGTCCGCAATGCTTGTGCACAACCAGCATGGAGCCAGCATCGTGTCAAAGTCGAGCCAGCGTCAAAGCAGCATAGCAAAACTGAGCTTGACTTACTCGAGGTCAGCCTGAAGTAACAAATGTCAAGGTTATCTGGCCTCGGGTCATTTTCCACAATCGTCCAGATTGAATCACAGCTGAGATCCCGGATTGTACAGTTGCAGACTTCTCCCTTAGACCTGATGATGTTTGGGTACCTGCATACAATCAAGTGTGTGTGCTTGACCTGCGGTCTGGGCTAGGTACCTTTGGACTTTGACTGTTGGAATTTCCGATAGTTGACTTTGTCAACTGTGCCTCGTCCAGGCCCTGAGTCTTAACTGGGGTCTTTTTCCCCTTTTTCGGTCTGGGTCTCGGCTTCAGCGAGGCTTACGACATGGGTTATTACATTCCTGTCGGCCCAATTTTCGAGTTTCATCGCAGAAATATATTAAGCTTCACTTAACCCACATTCATAAGCAGCAACAATGTCAGGAGCAGTCGGTAGGAGTTATTTCCTACTAAACCATCTAGCTTCAGATGGAGGTTGAAACTTGAATTTTACCTTATACTGCTTCTGGGGTCGTCCTCTGCTTCCTGTAGAGAAATAGCCATGTTCCTATATTCTTTCAACTTCATAACCTCCGTTCATAGAGGGTGGAAATGGAGATGGTCTATTCGGAAAGTCGTCACTTTCTACGTAGGGTAGCTGTTTAGACGCATGAAAGACAGGGTATGTCCTTAAATGTGGAGGTACATCTATACGATAGCAAGGTCCATCTTCTCCTCCAATCACTTTGAGAACTTCCCAGGGTCCGTAGTAGACAGGTAGCAGTTTCTGAGACACATTTTCTTCAAAGGAAAACTCTTTAGACTTTACCAGACAAAGTCCCCTTCTTGAAGTTTTGTGAAGGACGACGATGTTTATTAGCTTCTTCAATCATTTGCAGTTGGGATTTCTGTATGTTTTCCTTCACCTTCTTAATGTCCTCTTCATATAGCACTGCGAATTTACGCGTACCTGGGAGTAGCCTCTGAATCTGGTCTCTTGTTAGTGCATCAATGAGACGCCTAGGCCTCTGACAGACAAGACAAGTCCACACATACGTTAGTACATCTTCCTTCATTACTTTCCATTCAAAGCGTTCGCGTGCATCGACATACGTCTTCCTAAAACCAAAGTAGCCTTCCGCATTATGACATTCCCCGATGACTAAACTCTTAATTGATTCCAAGTGAGGAACACACAATCGTTATTCGGTTTTATCCAGCAAGAAGAGTGGGTGATCAGTCATTCGATATTTCGGAAATAACTCAGGGTTCTTTCGTAGAGTCTCAATGATAGGACTCAAAATAGGATCATTCCCATAACTCGGCGGATCTGTTCTTTTAGTTCGTTTCCAATATCTAGATAGGAGACAATGGTTCCAAAAAAATCTTCACGTCTGGACAAAGCATCCGCAACCACGTTAGACTTACCTTTGATGGTTTTCACCTCAAAGTCAAAGGTGTCAAGGAATGCGGACCACCTTACCAACTTGTCGGAGAGCTTAGGTTGAGTCTTGATCCACTTTAACGTAGAGTGGTCAAAATAGACAGTGGAATGTCTCCCCAAAAGGTAGTGCTTCGAGGTGTCCAATGCAACTACTAAGTCATACAATTCCCTTTCATATGTGGAATTGACCACTTTTTTTAACGGAAGTCTTCTGGACATAAACTCAATAGGTCTATAGCCTTTACCGTCATCTTGCTGTAACACAGTCCCAATCTCATATTGACTTGCGTCAGTTGTGACTATGAAAGGAAGATAAGGGTCAACAATCTTTAGGACAGGGTAGTGAGTCGGAGTATGTTTTAACTTTTTGAATGACAACTTACAATCTTTGTCCCACAACCAAGGTTTTTCCTTTTTCAGTAATCTTCTCATAGGAGCAGCTATCAAGGAAAAGTTTCTAACGAACTTCCTATAATAGCTAGCAAGTCCTAGGAAAAATCTTAGTTCAGTTAAAGTCTTGGGTTGTGGCCAATCTCTGATTGCTGTAATCTTCTTTTCTTTAGACCCTAGTCCTTCCTCGTTTACTATATGTTCTAAGTACAAGACTCCAGGCTTAGCAAACTCTGACTTCTTCGGATTTAGTTTGAAGTTGTCCTCGTGAAACTTCTGCAAGACCATTCCTAAATGTTTCTCGTGATCTTCAAGTGTCTTACTATATACTAGAATGTCATCGAGGTAGACTACTACGAATCAATCAAGCCATTGAGGAAACAACTCATTCATTGACCTTTGGAATGTTGCAGGCGCATTGGTCAACCCAAAAGGCATAACCACGAACTCGTAGTGACCATACCTGGTTTGGCATGTCGTCTTGTGTTGATCCTCTGGAGCCACCTCGATCTGGTGGTACCCTGACTTGAGGTCAATCTTACTAAAATTCCTACATCCCTGCAACTGATTCAGTAAATCGTCAATGCGAGGAAGAGGCTCCTCGTTTATGACAGTGACGAAGTTCAGCCCACGATAATCGATACAAAGACGCAATTCACCTTCCTGTTTAGGCACGAATAAGACAGACACATCATAAGGAGATGAGCTATGGCGAATCCATCCTTTATCAGTAAGTTCTTGCAGCTGCTTTCGCAGTTCCTCAAGTTCCCTGGGAGACATTCGGTAGATGGGACCCTTGGGAATCTTGCTTTCGAGAATTATCTCAATAGTGTGTTTGATAGCACACTCAGTAATTCCCGTAGGTTCATGCTGCAAGTCATTGTACTCATCAAGAAGTTTTTCAATAGCAGGTGGATAAGATGAGGAACACTTACCTACTCGCTTGATAAGTATCATCATCACCTCCTGATTTAACTTCTTCTTTACTACCATTGATCGGAAAGTTGGGTAACTCATACAACAGAAAGACAGAGTAGAGTCAGAGTCAGACTTATGATATAACTTTATCGCACGCAGTTCGGACTTGATAATTTTATCTTTGAACTTAACTTCTGGGTCGTCCTCCTCATGCCAATCCATACCCAGAATTATGTCAAAGGGTAAATTTTTTTCAACTAGGAAGGATATCTCGTGTAGAATGTTCTTACCTTCCTTTGTCCTGAAATAACACTTAACACTATTGACGCATTGAGAGACAGTGATTGTGCTCTTTTCAGCTAGTATAGACGTGATAGGTCTAGGTAAATCATTTACCTTCATCCTCAGATGCAACTTACGAATTGCCATCTCTGAGATATAAGACCGCGTCGAAACCGGATCTAACAGGGCACCTACTCGTGTGTGCGCAATCTCAATATCCGCGATCATCAACTAACCCTTAGACTTTGCTTTCTTCGCCCACGAACTTCATAGTGCTATCAGTTCATTGTCGAGTTCGTCAAGGGAATTGTCCAGTGAGATAGAACAAAGTACTGTGTCAAAGTGGTCTGGACGACGGGCGGAAGAAGAGTCATCCTTTGCCTTGAGAGTCGAAGGGGTAAAATGGGTTGTAGGCGCCTTACCTTTATCTTGGTCTAAACCCTTCGACTCAGTAGGAGCAAATGTTACTCCTACTGGCTGCTCGCTTTTCGGTTTCGAATAAGTGGGCACCAGGCTATCATGTGCCCCACGGTGCCACACTTGAGGCACTAGTGATTGTCCATTTTGGACTGCCACTCCTCCCGAGTCATGTTCATCTTTTCCTAAGGTTTCCCGAACGCGATGCCGGGATGCTCGGGAAACGAGTGTGGCCTCTTCTTCATCTTCCACTGACTTTGGCCTCCCGTGTTGGCCATTACGGCAGCGACGTCACCCTTCCCGGACTCGCTGCCGCCATTACCTCCTCCTCCCTCAGATTCGTCGAGGGGTAACTTCTCTACTGTCTCATCGTCAAATAGCACAAGCATATGGTCCTGACGCTTTTGCCGCTAAAGGACCCGCTTGCCATACCCACCATCCGGTCCCGATTTGACTACCGAAGTGTACGTACCTTTGACTTGTGTGGTTATCTGCTCTCTTTGCAGAGCAAGATCGCGGAATTGTCGGTAATTGTACTTACCAGACTTTGACTCTGCTACGAGTTGTCAACGGATGGGCTCGAGCAATGCTCGCGAGTAAATGTACAGGGCTTGGTTATCCTGCAAATTCAACCCAGATACCTGCAAAAGATGGTCAACTTTAGGAGACAACGCATCCACTGAAGTCTAACGTTTCTGGTCGATGGTGGTGAGTTCATCGAAGGCCTTACCAGTCGTTGTTTTGTCGAGAAATCTCTCCTTTATCTTTTGGAGAGATTGTCTCAACGTCAGGGTCTTTGCCTACTCACCGATATCCTCAAAGCCAGCGGCGTTGGCTTCGGCCAGCAGTGTCCAACACCAATTCCTTCGCCACTCCTCCCAAACAAGACGTGGAGAAAGCGACCTGACTTTCAGGTTCCACGGGTGTTGTCCCTACGTAAGTCTGTATCTCCGCAATCCATAACAACAAGTTCTCTTCCTTCAAGTTCTAGTTGCTGTACATAAATAGCAGTTTCATTTTGACTTTGTCTTTCTTCTCCGTTTTTTCTGCTTCCTTCACCGGTTCTTCTTTCTTTTCGGTGGGTGTTTCTTTCTTCTCAACTTGTCTCTCGGGTTCTTTTTTAGAAACTTCGGGTTTCTCAGGTGTCATTCGTTTCATTGCATCCTTCATTAATTTCTCTTGGGGTTCCTTCTTGTCTTCTCCCCCCTTGGTCACCTCCTCGTACACCACCTTTTATTTTCCCTTCGTCCTTCTGATCATTGTCTCCATAGCGGCGGTATTACTGTCAATCTTCTTCTCGAGATGAAGGAGGTAGACCATAATAGACTGAAGAATAAATGCAACCTCAGTACCTACTTCTTTGTAATGAAACTTTTGCCTCAATTCATTCATCACTCTTTCTTCTTCTTCTTCTTCTTCTCTCAATCTCAGGTACTTTTCAATCTTCCTTATTTCTTTTCTTAATGTATTTTCCAGTTGTCTGACGTTTTCCTCCAGTATGTCCACACACAATTGTGGTTTCTTTCTTTCTTCCCTTTCTTCCTTTTTTTCCTCTTTTCCTTTCTGGTTCATCTTTTCAAAGCTCTCGACGTCATATTGATCAAGGATCAATCGTCCTTGCTTTATGAGGTCTTCGGCCCTCATGCTTGTTTCCATCATCTGAACGTCAGTCTCAGCGGCCTGCAGATCTTTTTCTGCATCACGCAGATTGATCTGTCTGTGAACGTGCCGTTCAACATCTGGACCGGCACCATGTATCTCACCAAGAAGCTGGCGAAGGAAGCCGACTAAAGTCTGCCTCCTTGCATCAATCTGACCACGGGTTTTCAGTTCCACTCCCTCTTCATCGGCAAAGACGGTAAGAGGAATGGGAAAGAAAAGAAGCGGTATGAACCGAGTCAAAATAGAGGCGCGCAAACATTTCCAGAGAAAATTCATTTTGTCAAACGTGCAGATGCCGCACAATAAATAAAATTAGAAGACAAAAATAAATTCCACGACGCAACTTTTCCAGCAAGAATTATTCAAAGCAAATATAAAGAAACAAATGTTTTACTAATTCTAACTTCGTTGTCTGTTCTTTCTATGTGATGACGTCCTACAGCATGTGTACAGGTACCGCAACCACGGCGAGTGTGATCAAGACAACAACACACAGGTGAGTATGCAAGGACACAACAGATCAACCAACAGGTGAGTAAAACCAACACTCCAACACAATCAATTGTTAGCTTCCTCTCTTTATGGTTGCACTATCTGCAGCAACCAAACACATTACACACTCAACACCTCACTCAGCCACGCAGGCCACGTCTCACCCCTGGAATGCCAACACAGCAGCTCAATGGAGGTTGCCACGTCAGCACATCAAGAACCCGGAGGGTGTAGAAGGGAAATGCCACGTCAGCAATGCGTGTCTGTAATGGCATGCCACATCACCAGGTATTCACGCCAACATTCCATATTATGCCATGTAGGCACTATGCCACATCAAGGGTTTAATTCGCACACTTTATCTGTTTGGACCGGCGCCACGTCAACCCGTTGCCAACGAAGTTCTCACTTGTGTCTTCAATGCATCTACGGCATCATCTTCAAGGGACGGTTGCTCACAAGTGCATTACTACAATGTCTAGACTTGCGGTATGACCGCGTGCGTTAATAAACACGTTTCGTTCTGCACATGCGGCACCTCCCACTTACCCGGGTGCCACGTCAGCACCTGACAGCAGACAGCAGATCGCAATGAAGAAGTTGGCTCCGATACCAAATTGTAATGAACCTAGTCTGACAGATACTCAGAAGTCGTCAAATACCTGTAGAGTCAGTATCTGAAGATAAAGTCTCCAACTTGTGATGAACTAAATCAAACAGTATCTCATTATCATCAATAGAAGAGAGTGGAGGGGGAAAAGACAAAGGAGAAGATGAAGATTCACACAGAAATCTCTTCTGAACCCTCTCCTTCTCCAGGCTTCCACCCTCTCCACATCAACAATGATAATAGGTATATTCCTGATCACACACGGAAATGCCACGTGGCACTCAATCTCATGAAGATCATGAAGACACTGCAGATTCCAGTATCGACTTCAAACCCAGTTGAGTACCCGTTCTCCTTCAACCACAGATCCCGATCTTCCTCCTTCCTTGCAANAGTATCGACTTCAAACCCAGTTGAGTACCCGTTCTCCTTCAACCACAGATCCCGATCTTCCTCCTTCCTTGCAACCAGTCACCTCATGTAGGCAGCGTGGACAATGCCACGTCAACTATCGAAACAGGTGGCAATCGCCACATCATCAATGTAGACCAATAGCAACGCCACGTATGTCAGCGGCAACGCCACATCAACATGCCACGTAGACCAGAGGCAGCGCCACATCAGCATACCACGTAGACCAGAGGCAGCGCCACGTATGCCAGAGGCAGCGCCACATCAGCATGCCACGTAGACCATAGGCAGCGCCACGTATACCAGAGGTAGTGCCACATAGGCATGCCACGTAGACCATAAGCAGCGCCACGTATACCAGAGGCAGCGCCACATCAGCATGGCATGGTGCACTGAAGAAGCACCAGCATGCTGCCTCCACCTCGTGCCGTCGTCCGCAACGCTTGTGCATAGTCAGCATGAAGCCAGCGTCATGTCAAAGTCGAGCCAGCGTCAAAGCAGCATAGCACGACTGAATCCTTGACTTACTCGAGGTCAGCCTTAAGTAACAAATGTCGAGGTTGTCTTGCCTCGGGTCATTTTCCACAGTCATCCAGATTGAATCACAGCTGAGAGCCCGGATTGTACAGTTGCAGACTTCTCCCTTGGACCTGATGCTGTCTGGGTACTTGCATACAATCAAGTGTGTGTGCTTGACCTGCGGCCTGGGCTAGGTACCTTTGGACTTGGACTGTTGGAATTTCCGACAGTTGACTTTGTCAACTGTGCCTCGTCCAGGCCCTGAGTCTTGACTGGGGTCTTTTTCCCCTTTTTCGGCCTGGGTCTCGGCTTCAGCGAGGCTTACGACATGGGTTATTACACCTACTTATTT